TTTGTATTTTTAGTTAAATAAATATTGCCTGTGTACTTAAATAATTGACAGTTATTCAGAATAGTGAAGTGTGAACAATGTGGGACCATTTCCGGCGTTAATTCGAGGTTGGGCTCAGCAAAAGGTGAGTTGATATCTGTCTTCATAACCGAGTCGAACGTTCTCCATGAGCTTATCGTACGATTCATTGCAATTTTACTCGATTTTAACCGTTTCATTAATTGATAAACTTGTCGTCAATCGGTGGACGAAGTTCAGTTTGTTGGTTATTCGAACAAAGATTCTTAAATCGACATTTCCTGTTCATGTAATTCCAACTCGCATGAGAGTACATACATTACAGTTCGAGTATGGAAGAAGTATACTTCAAAATAGCGTACAATAGAATTCTCGTTCAAGATTCTGTATAATGATTAAAGGATCAATGATAAGAATAATAGAAATTAAATTATACTGTAGAGAATCTCGAGATGCAATTTTATTGCAGTATACAGTGGCACTTTGGTTAACTACGGTTATCCGTCGTTATCCAAGGCACATAGCTGTTCTCTATTCGATTTACGATTACATTTCGATTATATATACAGGTTCACGTGATCAAAAGTTATTAACCAATGTCTGTCTTATTAACCAACAGAATTTTTCCTTGTAGCTACTCCAATCGTTAATCACTGCATTCCAAATTAGGCTCATGTTATTAGGATTGTGACATACTCTCGTAAGAGTTATAATTATATGAATAGGAGGCATCGAAATTGAGAAGCTACAATGCATTATATAAATTGTAAGATAATTTGAATTGAAGTATGTCTTACTCTGAACTCTTGAATTCATTATAATTCTTATTAATAATTTTTCTTGTTACTGTGCTTTGATCGTGATGTGGATTGCATTAGTAAATTAAATCAATTGATTTAGATAATAGAAACATATGTACTGAAAGAGTAGACGCATTGTTGCAATGCAATTTAAAGCGGCTGATGCCGGTAATGCAGATATTGTGACTTGCAAGCCACAAATATAATCTGTTCTCTCCTGTGTATCCTACTATATACTTTACCCATGTATCAGCTTCAAGCTTAAGATGTCGCCACAGGCTATGTAATCGTTTTTTTAAATGAAACTCCTTTAAGG